GAAATGCTCTGGTTGGAAGCATGTCTTTGAATACTCCGTTCACGGGCTATGAATCAAGTACCGCTTCCTTCGATATCAACATGTCAGACACTGGACTTGTATCAAATATTGCAGCTGCTGTAGGAGATAGAAGTATCAAAAACACCATCAGCTTTGCCATGTCTGATAACTCTATCACTGGATCAATCAACCTTCAGACACCATTCGAACATTTTGAAAATGTGGGACTAAGTCTGAATGCAGCAGGTTCATGGGCTAATAGTCAGATTGACATGTCTATTATGAACGATGAAACCAAACCTGTTGAACTCTTACTGAAACACTCCATCTTAGGAGACAGATACGACGCCAGTTTCGTTTTCCGTACGATGTATACGCCAGAACTGTCAGCAGGTGTTACACATACCGGAAATTGGCGATCATTCTCAAACGACGTACAGGTAGCGGCTGGGACAGACTACAGTCTGCAACACATCGCTACTGTTCGATTTGGAACGGATTTAGCCGACATGTCATCCACATTAACCGGAAGACTGAATGGACGCAGGCATTTGGTGAAATCAACCTTTATACACGAGGGACAGATTCATAACTTCAGAACAAATCTGATGAATAACTTCAATGGACGTAAATCCATTATGAACGTATCTTTTAGAAACACAGAATCTATCGACGGATCTTTCATTCTTAAAACGCCCTTCAAACTGTTCAAAAATATTGCAGCCACACTTCAACATTCTGGAGATCTAGACCAGTTCTCTACCATCGCCAATGTACAATTAACCCCAGCCAAGGTGATTGCAGCTAAGGTGGACTTTTTCAAACACCGCCTGCGACGCATCAATGCCAACATTGAACTAACAACACCATTTGAGGGCTTGGAATTGACAAAATTAACATACAGACATACGGTGACATCTAATGACATCAAATGTTTCAGTGACGTTACTTACGGAACAGAAAAAGTTAGCGGTTCATTGAAAGCATCCAAAAGTCCACTGTCTTTTGACGTGTCTATTCAAACTCCTTTCACTGACTTCGAGGAAGTTGGTGCAAAAGCCAAGTATGTCAGACAAGGTCTAAGTCATAACATCAATGTGAATGTGAAATATTGCACTGGAAAAGAAATCACCTTCAAATCATCCGTTGATCTTGCAGCT